TAGCTGTAGTAGCAAAGGCACTCCGAAAAGATGGCCATTTCTATTTAAGATTATGCAATTTTGTAATGTCAACTTCGGTGCCAACGAAACGTTTGAGAATATACCCCCTCACATCTCCTATGTCGTCTTGATAACACTGTCAAAGGGAGCAGAGTTATACTCTCTTTCCATTACAATTTTGTGCAAGCCCATCTTCAAAAGCAACTTATGATCATATAGAAAGACTCGTGACTATAAATAACTTAGAGGTTGTTTGATCTTGTTTTCGCAACTTTGTCATGTTGGTAGGAAGACTTAGAGGAACGCAGCTAGTCCGGAGTCCGTTGCCTGCATCATCATTTTCAAAGTTGAACAGTGGACGTGGTACATTCCTAAACGTTTCGCCGGCATCGTCAGTGAGTCTTGCCATTCTTATCGTCATACAACAACTCGTCGAAGAGACAAATGAAGCCGATTCTTTGATAAAACGTGTGCTAAACAATTGTGGTATCTCCCCTTCTGCCCTGGATTATTCGCGTTTCCGGTAGCATCCTATCATGCCTTCATTATTACAATTTTTACTGTGTTTATTTAGATATGGTGTGGTGTGCTCCTTTGAGCGACATGACACCTTCACACTCTTCTTTCATAGTCCTATCTAAGTCTCTCTCTTACTCCGTAAAATCTGTCTGCTCTACCCCTAGTTCACCTATTTCACTCGACTCCTGCCACCGCATGTGTCCCACTCGAGGCGTTATTCGCCCTCACCTGCGCCTGGGTGACTAATTCGAGACGCAAGACTCTGAGTGTCATGGTCACCCCTTTGCTACATGTACCGTGTCTCTGGTACAACAGACCTACCATCAGCTAACTAGCTCCGGTCCTCGCCGTCCCCGGCCACACCATCTTGGTCTTCATACCTTCGATATAAATAACTTATTTTCGTATTGGAGTATAGTTTCGTGACTCACAGTAAATCAGTAATATGAGATGTATTCACCCTATTTCGTCTAAGTTGATGAAGGACTGGTAGTATAATTTTCCCACAATGATATGAGTTGAGCTGACATCTCATATTACTGATTTACTGGTAGTCTCGAAACTCTACTCCAATACGCAAATAAGTAGCGTAGTCGATTGCTATAGCAAATATACGTTTGTTTCATCGGCACTCCCACCAAAGAATATGATGTAGCAAAGAGGCCTGACCTTCCTTGAAATTCACATTTTCCCTGTGACCCAAAGTCACTCGTGGCAGTGTGGCCGAGTGGTTAGCGTGTCAAGCTCTCATCCTGCACTGTCGTGGTTCGACTCCCGCTGAGGGTGTTGATAAGACCGATTCGAGGTCGAAACTGCAATCCACTGGTGCCTCGATGAGAACAACTTTTGGGAAAGCAAGGCTGTGCGAAATTCAAAGGAAATGTCAGCTCAACTCATATCATTGTGGAAAAATTCTACTGCCAGTCCTTCATCAGCTTAGACGAAATAGGGTGAATACATAAATAACTTAGACTTTTGTGGAGTAAATGCAGCCAAGTAATGCCAATTATATATAAATATCGCACATAAAGAGGTGAAGCAACAGCTTAGTTTAGCATTTGTAGTCGTGTTAACACGCACGGCCACATTCAAGACCCATTAATTCACCAATTCTAGTGCTGTATCATTATATCCGTTCGTAAGAGCCGTATTCACTCTAGCTCGCACAAAACGATTGAGTGATAATTGAATTTTCCCACAATGATATGAGTAGACCTCATGGTTTCATTCTTATTACCTTTAGATAAGCAAGGATATGTGAAATTCAATAGAAGCCTAAGGCATACTCATATAATGTTGGGAAAATTCAACTATAAATCCTCCATCACCTTAGGAGGCCTGGGTTAAATATAGCTCTTATTGAGAATCTACAGATAGTTTCGAGACCTTATCAATACGAATATTATCTCATTTCGTCACAACTTCGGTAGAGCTGCCTACTTGCAACATCCTAGGCCACTCCATAAGACACCTAGGGTGACAGTCTGCAAGAATGGATCACATTCTTATTTCGCTCAAATGTATCCTGATTGGATGACCTCGGGAGTTTGTGTACCACATGAAGTGGTGCCAATCGGGTTCACAAGCCATATTACTATTAAAGCACATTTTCTAAAAGTTGCTACATCCGGGTATGTACAAAAACCCGGGCACACATCACATCTCAAAATCAGATAGTTGAATTTTCCTGCAATTATATGAATAGACCTCACGAAGCTTTTGAATTTCACTTAGCTTTCCTTCTCAAAAGGTATCCTTATTTAGGGAATTAGTCAGCACCTTAAAATTGAGTCAAACCGGGGTAGTCAAGCGTATATATGAAGAAAAACGGAGTTTCGAGGACTCCATTAGTGAGTCATTGTTACATGATTTTTCATTTTGAAGAAATTCGTGAATTGGTCTTACCAGAACCTTGCACTGTTGGAATGTGCACGGAAGTCCTCGGCTTACCGTTAATTGGGGCCGCTAGATGGTGAGCCGAAGACTTCTTCGCACAATTTAACATTCTTCACTCCTCCAATGCAAGCTTCCTTCGGTTTCCAGTAAGACCAATTCACGAATTCATTCCAATCAACTTTTTATTTGAAATGAACAATCATGTCACAATAAGTGCAGTTCATGCTTGTATGGGACTAGAATTTTTATTCAATATCTCTTGATATAAGCGAAAACGACTTCATATTAATATAGGTTAGATAATTGATTATAATAGAAAAAAAT